AAAAATTTGGAGCGCTTAATTATTTTTAAATATAAATACGAATAATATTGCAAAGATTAGGTCCAATTTACTTTTGATTATATGCCAGTACAATAATTTTTGGAAACTAACATCTTGAAATTTATTTAAGTAAAATGCACACTAGTTATATTCTTAATTGCACACAGCACATTAATGTAAAATTTTTTTAAACCAATTTTTTGTATTAAAAATTTAATATTTCTTTTTAAAGCTTTCAGTCATTTGTTTTATAATTATTAGCCAAAGTTCATCCAAGAGAATCGTATCTTCTAATCATAATACTTTGTTATTTTAAATTATGTAATTCAAATACCCCACCAAAATACAAGAAATATTTATAATACATTATCTTTAATTTGAGTTGGGGATAAAGGATAATTGTGTTTGGTTTTCATTCCTCATTGGTCTTATTGTAAATAATAAGATTTAATAAAACAAAAATAAAGTACAATAAAGAAAAAAAAAAAAATTTTAATAACCTTTGAGTTAGAATTAAAAAATTGGTTGCTGGTTTGCCTTCGTCCCTGTTTAGTTTTGTAAAATTAAAAAAAGCTTAGTATTTAAAATACACCTTTATAATAGTAAAATAATTTATTATAATACTCATGTCTTGCAAATTTAAAAACATTGTATATCGATTATGGTCTTTCCAAGTACGTGAATTAGTTATTCTTCTTTTATAAGATTTAATGTCCATCACTAAATTTTGTACGCCTTTAAAACTTTCTTGAACCGATTGCACCCATTGAACATTATTGGAATTTTCCTGTTCTTGTACAATTTCAAGTGCATTACAAAGTAATAATTTATATTCTTCGAATATTTGTAATGATTCAGTATTGTCATCATCGTTTAAATTAATATCAGTTATATTATCGACTATATATAAAATAAATAAAAATATAAGTTCATATTTATTAAATTGAAAAATACTTGTTTCTTATCTGTATTTGATTGCATTAATTGTGTTGAAGATTGTTGTAATATATGTTGCGATTGTAAAAATACAAAAGGATAGACTCCTTGTCGCTGAATATTTTCAAAAAAAGACTTATTAATTGTAAATTGAGATGCTTGAATTAAATATTTACAAAGAAAAAATTGATTGATTAAAAATCCTAAATATCCGCAAATCCACTTTTCTGTATCAATTACGTAATTATGATTGTTTTTTTTTTCTTTCAACATTATCCATTCTTTTTTGAAGTTCTTACTCCAAGAAGGCATTTCTTGCTTATAATAATATTTATTATATTGTTGCTTGTGATGTGGAATTAAGCGAGTAACTATAATATAAGTAAGGAAATTAAGACATGGCCTAAAAAACTTAGGCAAAAAGTCTCACTTGATTACTTTCCAATAGGATTCACATAACATTGTGGTACAAAAATACAAATCTTGTTACATCCGGATCATGTTTACAAATTCCAATTTTTTTTTTGATACCAATTTTCCTACAGATAGGTTCACAAAAACTTTAAATCGTTGTAGATAAAAAATTCATATATTTGTTTTGTCGATTGTTCCCAAATTTGATTTGCTATTAAATAAAATCTATTAATATTTGGAATTAAAGAATGAAAGTGTATATGTTGTTCTATCATCTCTATAACTTTAGGATGCAACTCTTTAGGGCAAAAACAAAAGTTCTTTTTTTGTGCCTGAGTTACTTGTGACAGTAATGATGGATAAAATTCAATATCAATGAACTCAAATTCCTGATGTGCTAAATATGAACTATAATTAATTTTTTTTGGATATGTATTGTCAGCAAGGCATTTTTTAAGCGCTTTTTTCATGTGCCAAAAACAAATTTGAATTTTCGAATTTGGCCAAACTTTTAACGCTGCTGAAATTTGTGCGAAATTCTTATCAGTTAGAAAAAAATTAATATTATTTAATCCTAAATTAAATATATAAGGATTCAAAGAATAATGTTAAAATACTTATACGAGCGCCATCATCTTTTTTAGTTCCTTCAATAAACAAATAAGCAAGTGCAAATCCAGATCCATCATATTGACCGACAACTGCATATAATTCATATTCTAGAACATTAGTTTTATATGTGGTATCTATGACAATCTTATAATTATTTTTTAATAAATCAAAAAATGGTGTCACAAAACCCAAATATTGAATATTTTGAGTATTGAACAAAGTGATCTTGCATTTATTTTGTTTAACAAGTAACTTGTTTTTGAGTTAAGTTTGGATTTTGTTGTTCCAATTGCTTAAAAATATCTGCGGGTGTAAGATGAATATTCTTCTTTATTTCAGCTTTAATATCATTAGACATATTAAACCGATCTGGACGCTTATGAAGTAAATTATGCTAAAGATCAATTGTTGCTATGTTTGTTTCCATATTAAGTACTATTTTTAAAGTACCATTACAGGAAAATTGTTCAATATATCCTCTATCACACTGTTTATGGAAATTTTTATACTTTCGTGAATGCTTAGCTAATGTGCAACTCTGAAAACAATTGTATGAAAACGTATATTTATTATGATCTTTTTCAGACTTATAAACATTATGATAACTACAAATAAATAAATATTATCATTATTACATATGTATTATTATTTTATTATTATTATTGACAAATATATATATTACTTACATATAATAGTATCCATCGGCAGATCCTACGATTTCAGCAATTTTTTTTCCAAGTTCATGGGGTTCACTTTTTAGTAAAACAGTTGATATTTTGCACGAAAAATCTATGCCAGAATTTTTATTTTCAACATATTCATTATTTCCAATTTTAAGAATATGTTCAAATAATTTTTTTTTCATTTCATTAGGTTTAATAGGACCTTGATTGTAAGGCACATTTTCATTAGGTTTTGTAGCATAGTAGGTATTTAAATTTTTTTGCCGACATTCATAACATATTTTTGT